ATTAGGGGAGTAACAGTGTTTTGACTAAAACGTACATCTGTATTTCGAGTGTATCCGGTTCGCACGTCTCGTTCAGTAGACACAGGTACTCTAATGTAATAAATTGTAGTACCCTGAATCTCAAATTCACAACGAACGTCCGTACGTGTGGAATATTTACAAGTCGAAATTCCTTGGTAGGCGTTGACTTATTGTCTTGACAATCACAGTTTTCCTGACAAACAACTGTACGAGGTCTCTATTTGATACAGTAAGTGTCCGCGTGTGCTGTTTTCAAGTTGGGGGCCGTCAGGAGATGGAATGAGGACGGTAACCTTTTGTGGAAGATGGACGGGAATGCCTCGGCCTTCGGAGGTACATGGAAACCTATAACTGTGACAAGTTACACTCAAGTCTGGTGTGTTTGTGTGTACTGATCAAAGAAATCACTGACTCTTTCCTCAGAATGAGTCTTTCGAATCATACAGAGTTATTGTGGAGTTTCTAGCTACAGAGATGTCAATCTTGATGGTCAGTGTCTACAACGTAACCATTCAAAGAGTCATCCCTTCTAGACACAACCCGTCCAAAAAGTCAAAACGTCACCCACATCTTCAAACACATAATACACTTTTAATATAAGTAAACATTATATGTGATCTTTTATAATAAAAACAACTACTTTGTTCGCTCCCGGTGGATCAACAAAAATTGTAACGACAGATGTCAGTATATTCCTGACAATCGAACTTGTACATATTTATGTAGATACTTAACTGTAGGAATGAGAGTACCCAATCCAAAACCTGATCAACCACCGAAACTCCTAGTGGTGGTCCTTAGCCAGACTCGTGTTACTCGCACATCTTGAAACACCAACGTATCAAACGGGCGGTAGGGAGCCGGAAGGATGGGTTTCGTAGACGGCCGACCTCCTCCTGAGGGCAGTAACCTGTTTACTATAAGAGGTTCTGCGACGACTCACGGTGATAAAAGACGAACAGAGTCCATAATCTGACAGTGGTCTGAAGCCTACAGGATGGCATTTCACGTAGAGGCGACCCTCCTCTCCTGAGGGCAGTACCTGTTTGTACTAAAAAGAGTTTTTCAGACTTCACGGTTGTATAAAAGAAGATAGAGAGGTCCATAGACAAGTGTTCTAAGAATAATTCGTGACCATTTAGTATGTGATAGGTTAACCCTCCTATAGTGGAGTCTTAACGACGTATAGGTGTAAACATCGAAAGTCTATTACAAAACCACAAAACTAAGTCCCAGCTCTGTCCTCCCGTCGAACGAGAAGAAGCCTCCTCACCTGTGGTCGAGACATAGTCCCGCCTGTTGGTTCATACTCACTGCAGGCCTGAGTGCTACAGTAGATGGAGTCCACCCACAGGTTGGCAGAGCCGGTGTCAAAGAGCACTTGGAAGGACTGGGGGGGTGTTCCAATACTGATGGCGCCATAGTAGGTGGTCTGGGTATTGCATTGGTTGGAGGTAAAGAAAGAGAGGAATATAATAAAATAAATGCAAACCCATCAGTCAGGGATGTGTGTAAAATCGCGTTAAGCTAGGATTTCTTACGTCTGCGTAGTTATTGATGTACATGTTGGCAGAGGTGGAAAACTCATCAGGCTGGTACTTGAGAGCCGGATCATGGTAAGGCAGCTCAATCCCCTTCTCTCTCAGGGCCTCACGCATAGACTTGTGCTTATTCAGAGGGATCCTGAGGAAGAAGGAATCATAAACATGAAGAAGTTTAACCTGATATAACTATCCTTAGCAACTTTAGCGGTTGATCTTCAAAGTCATTTGTTTCTCATAAAAATAAAATTGTTTCTTTTACGAAACAGGCCCATAGAAATACAGAGATGATTTCCTTACCTGACGATTCCCTCCACAAGCGCCACACAGACCAAAACAGCAACAAGACACTTCATGATGCCTCCTGTCCACACAATACTCCTGAATACAATTCTGAGTCTTAACAGGCTTTATATACACATGTTCAGGCCCCTATCAGCTAGACTGTTATCAAAACTTCAGTCATATGACGACTCAGACAGGGTGACCCTTACAGGTTTTTTCTAAAAGCTACACACTTCATTTGCACAACATTAATTCAATAAACACTGACTCCAATGAAAGCCACAGAGCCAAATACACATCATATTAATCAAGGACATAATAAGATGTCATCCATTTGGGTATATCCATTGGAATAATGTACTGGTGACATTAACTCAAGAGTTTTTGAATTTGACACTTTTCTTTTTGTGAACAACTTTTTATTGTTTTTTTTTGCCCTCACAAAAAGGGACTTATATACACAGTTGCAAATTATATAAAATATAGGGAATCCCTTTCCCATGACACCCTGTCCCTCCCCCTTCCCACCCATCTTGCCATTTCACAGAAAATCCTACCTGATGTTTGTTAGCAATCGTCTTGACACTTTTCATAGAGTAATTACTTAGCTTTTATTTAATATAATGAAGAGGTATGATAAATGTGTCTATTTATATATTTTCTGTCTTTCAAGAAGATGATGCTGAGTGCTTGCCGCTTACGCTGAGTTATTTATACCTTTTTGCAGAATTAAAACAAATCTGTCTATATATATAAATATCAACAGCAAGGTCAAGTTTAATAGTTTTTTTCGAACGGTCACTTTCCGCAAATAAAAAACGAATGTTATATCAGGACTTCACTATCAGTAGCACCTTAACCACACAGTTTAATCGAAAAGCTCTTGTGTCGTTAGGCTTATCAAAACGTTTAACAGTGTTTGGATTTGATAGCTTTTATTCCTTTGAAAAGCTCAAGGTCATTCAATGAAAAATACAGCTTATTTATGAATTTTAATTGATTTTATTCTTTGTGCTTTGACTGGACTATAGTAATAATAACATCTCCCCTAAGATTGGCTTTTACTTCTCCTGTATTTGCTGCCAATAGCACCTTGTTGTATATCAAAGCAGACCAGTAGCATGGGGGAACTCTGATTACAGTGCCTTTTAATGACCCCAATGCAATTAGATTAGATCAGCACATTCTCATTTTCTCCATGGGACAAATGACATTGTGTACACAGGACCCTATGTGGTGGTGTGATGTAAGCTTGCATATAGGTGGAGTACCCCTTTCCTATTGGGAAAGCTGCAATGCTATAGAGCCGGCCAGCTAACCAATCAGAGCAGACTGGGCTCTGGTTCCAGACAGAAGGTATGTTTCAGTGGTGGACATAGACTTCGAGAGGTCACCTTATGTCAGTTTGATGGAAATGAATCACAAGTGGGCCTCCCCTACATGGGATGTCTCAGTAATCTATCAATACTGGTTTCCACAATCCACTATCTAAGTGTGGAAAACATGTTAACTTTTAAGAAAGCATGTTACTGGAACCTAGAAAACATCTTTACCTTTCAATGGGGGATTAATATCTGTTTCACACAAAGTCAACCATTAAAGTATGGGGTAAAGAACGTTGTATTTGGTTTGGCATAATATCATCAAGATTTCCAGGGAATTCATGTACTTCAAGTCATTCTGTGTGTGTGTGTGTGTGTGTGTGTGTGTGTGTGTGTGTGTGTGTGTGTGTGTGTGTGTGTGTGTGTGTGTGTGTGTGTGTGTGTGTGTGTGTGTGTGTGTGGAGAGTGTGTGTGTATGTGTCTGAGAGAGTGAATGTGTGTGTGTGTTTGTGTGTGTGTGTGTGTGTGTGTGTGTTGTGTGTGTGTGTGTGTGTGTGTAGGAGGCTGCAGCTGCACCCATGTCTTGCAGTAGAGCAGGCAGAGAGGGAGAAGCCCAGCAAGTGACTGGTGAGGAGCAGGTGGGCCTGGGAGGAGTGAGCGCTGCAGCATAGCACTCAGAAAAATGCAGACTGGGTACTGGCTTGAACACACACACACACACACACACACACACACACACACACACACACACACAACACACACACACACCACACAACCACACACCACACCACACACACCACACACACACACACACACCATTCTATTAGATGAGGATAGTTTGACTTTATTGACCCAAATTTGGGAAATGTATTTTCACGCGATCGTATAAACAAGGCATTGGACAATTGAA